AACGCACAATTCACTTTTGATGCAGAAAGTTACCTGCTAAAAGAAATAGTAAAAATTTAAAATACGTTTCAAACATTCTATAACTATAACATTTTATGGAGAATTCGACGTAAGCGTCGACAATTTTCCATGCGCACACTATAGGTATTCGATACGAAAAACAATGTTTTTCCCGCAGGCAGTTATAAAATTTTCGAAAGAAAGAGGTGCCTACCACGAGTTTGCGATCGACTTCACGATGAAGCAAAAACATCGTGTAATAAAAATAAACTTTGGTAATTAGTTACACGGTACTATTTTTTATCTGTCTTATTACAGCTTCACTAGGCTAAGGGTACGGGCACATCTGCTTATACGTCATTACCATTGTCTATGGACCACAATAACGATAGAAAAAAACCAAGACAATACCTACCTGTTCCAACGAGACTTTCAATAACAGTAGGTAAACTAAGCATAAAATAGGTATCGATATTGATGAAAAGGATACAAATATAGTGAAAACATAATACTAATAAATGAATAAATGACCGCAAACAATTTTTTTTATTCCATATATATAAAAAAAACCATTTGAATTTAGAATTGATTGCCAGCCATACACAAATGTGTTTCAAATGACGACGAATGAATTAAATTAAAGTATTTTAAATATGTATATTCAATATAATTATATAATATTTTAAAAGTTTTAAGAAAAAAAGGCAATATTTGTCCCAAAAATATGCACAGCTCCTGTAAAAAAAATGTTAAGTTAAAATGAATGAAAAATGATTTAAATTAAGAAAATGTGCTTTTACTGCTACGAAACATCTTTTTTTCATAATATACAGTAAACCTTTATTACTAATTTCTTTTCTTATTTATCAAGCGAATGAAAAGTGATGATTGATCTGTGTGCTATACTTTAATATAATATGTTTTTTTAAATAATACTTTGAACATTGTAATAATAAAATTTATATATCTGCTTTCAAACTAACAGTACCTATTTAAAATTGATTTTAGCTTGCAATTTAAATCATACTCGTGAATAATTTTCTTGATATCAGAATTTAATAAACACGGAATCGAAATGTCATATAAAATTGTCGACATTCACTTCGAACGGCATAACGTTTATGCAAATAGCTTACAACTGTACTGCAATGTATCTCTATGCTAATAAACAGACTGGATATACGTATGTACATACTTCCACAGCAACCACAACAACAAAACATCGTAATTTGCATATACAAAACACATTAAAAATAAAATATTCGGCGATAATTATTAGCACACACAAAAATTTGCTAGGAAATTGCTAGTCGTAAAAACATTGATTTCCGTCAATACATACGCTATGATACTCGTTAGCTGTTGATTCCGCATTAATTGCTCGATAAAACTTCCTTAGTACAACCGGTCCGGATATACGGATGTAATGTGAGTGCAACGATTACTTGCTCTTGATGTTGACTCGGAGGTGAACCGGTTTCGAACAAGTTGCATGAGCTGTTACAATATAACAGTCTCAATCCCTTGGCGGTTAAGTTCGCTGCGTTTACTAATACAAGTAAATAAATTTACTGAATAGTCGCAAGTAGACGCTAATTCCCGCATTTTTTAATGTTTACACAAGGAATGAAAGTTGTTGATAACAGCTCATCGTAAAAAGTGTATTATGTATTTGCCACATTTTTATTGCTTGTGGTAGGACCTCTTGTGAGTCCGCACGGGTAGGTACCACCACCCTGCCTATTTCTGCCGTGAAGCAGTAATCCGTTTCGGTTTGAAGGGTAGGGCAGCCGTTGTAACTATACTTGAAACCTTTGAACTTATATCTCAAGGTGGATGGCGCTATGGGCTCCAGTAACCACTTAACACCAAGTGGGCTGTGAGCTCGTCCATCGATCGAAGCCATTAAAAAAAAAAAAAAAAGCCGGTGTTAAGTATGTACCGGTGCCCATAGATGACAACAACAACGTAAATTCCATCACTCACCTTGAGTCATGAGTTTTAAGTCTCAGTTATATAGACGAACCGCTGCCCCACCCTTCAAATCGAAACTTTGTTACTCCGTAGAAAGTATCAAATTTCTCGAAACGTCTGAAATTATATAATGAATATAAAACACGCGAGATTAAACCGTAAACGTAGTTTTAATTGTGTTTACGATTGGCAATAATCGAAGAAAATATTATGAAGATTTAAATTAAAAATATTTTTTGTTTAATCAACAATAGAAAGTATCAAATTTCTCGAAACGTCTGAAATTATATAATGAATATACGTGAGATTAAACCGTAAAAGTAGTTTTAATTGTGTTTACGCTTCCCAATAATCGAAGAAAACACTATGAAGATTTAAATTAAAAATAATTAAAAATATTTTTTGTTTAATCAACAATTGCAAGATTTAATCGTAGCGAGAAAACTCGAGTAGCATATTCGGCCCTTTTCTAGTTCGTTTGACAAATGAACTACAATCAACAACATTTTTGTTTCAAGGCGTTGTTGCTACACTACTAAATAGATTATTCGATCTTTAATCTCGGTACTTTATTTTTACTACAAGCAACATTAACAATTTTGAAATTGAGGTAAGATAGGTAGATATCTACCATTCGAAATACAATTTTTTCATTTAATACCATCGGAACCGCGCAATCTATACTAATACTAATACTAATAATATTATAAAAAGGAAAGATTTGTTTGTTTGTTTGTTTCGAATAGGCTCCGAAACTACTGGACCGAATTGAAAAATTCCTTTTCCATTAGAAGCCGACATTGTCCCTGATGAACATAGTCTACTTTTTTTAATTTATTTTTTATTTTATTTTTTGGTTTCATGTGTGTTTTAATGTTTCCGAAGCGAAGCGAGGGCGGGTCGCTAGTTTGTTATACATATGTTTGACATTTATTACTTTTTTTTATTTTTCTCTTTATCGATGAAATAGCAAAGATCGCGTCTGTAAGGATCTCAAATAAACACTCCGTTTCAAAACTTTTAAAAATGTAATAACATAAAGACAAATGTCTTTTAATAGCTACATACGTATTCAAATGAATAATTCAGAAATACCTAGAATCGAAGAAAAGAATAAAAATTCTTATTACAGTAAATAATATTACACAAAGTTATTATGATTATGACCACTCGATGTCCATAGCTTCCCAACGTCTCCGTCCACGGCAATTGTGCATCGAGTGGTCAACGTTTCAAATTAAACACGACTTTCAGCAATGAAGAGACCGACTCAGAAGAGTATAATTATAATAATTTTCTTCTAAGATTACTAGACTTGCATTTAGAGTCGGTATCCTACTTAGGTATGTATCCAATGCTCTGTCCACTGAAATCGAAGTTTTTTTTTGCGTTGTGGGCAGGTAACCATACGACCCACCTAATGGCGAGTGGTCATCGTCGGTCATGGACATCAGCAAAGTCAGTGGCACAGGCAAGCCGCTGCAACGGATTTTGCAATGAACACATGTAGTAAAAGTACTTTTTCGTCCATATAATAACTAGCAGTATATTATAAGCCTGCACGAGTAGGGGTCATGTACCTTACTATCTATTTTTAACACTGACAAGTTTTTTTTAATGGAAGTACTGCGTTTGGTCTGCATGCCTCGCCGCTTAGTCAAGGTAAACGGGTGAACTCCAAGGTTAGACTGACGGTTTTGGAAACAACTACCCGAGCATCTCGAAACACAAATTGCGGCGACGATCTAGCAGGAAACTACGCGGACTAATGCTAAGCTAAGTGTCACATCAAGCCTTACGACGAGTGCGGTGAAGATACGAGGCAGTCAGGTCCCAAACTAAATTGTAAAATAATTCTTTTTCTTTTTTTTTATTGCCCTTGTAGGCAGACGAGCATACGGCCCACCTGATGGTGAGTGGTCACTGCCGCCCATGGACTTCAGCAATGCCAGGGGCAGAGCCAAGCCGCTGCCTACAATTCTTCTAATATGATCAAGTTTCGACATTATATCTCAAAGTGAGTGGTGGCATTCCCAATGACATATTTATGATATGCAGCGACCGCTTAAATCAAGTGATGTTGAGTTATTCACCTACGAAGTAACAAAAACAAATGCTTGGTAAAAGACCACAGGAAGCAATATCAAAATACAAAATCTCTAGAGCGAGAATCAGAAAAAGAAAGAAAGATTAAACCGGAGCAAGTAATAAAACGTAATCAGTCAACCTGCTTTAACTGTTTATCGCCAATACCTAATTTTCCCATCTATAAGCAATGCCCTGACAAAAATTAATTGACAATATATCACTAAAAGCTAAAGGCATAGAAAATTCGAATGTAGGCAAGAAAAATGTGTTCGTTAGCTTGTTAAGTCGAAATATTACCGCATTGTCGAAATATTAGCGAACGTCGCGTGGGTTTAAATATCATCCACAAACTCCAACAGTTTATTTTTTCTTCAGATAAATAGAAATGGAATGTACATTCTCGGATATAGTTCGTTCATTGCTTTCCAGGTTTTTCATCCGCCCACATCTTCGCAAATCCCTAATTACTTCGCCCACGTAATAAAAAATACATATCTTGTGACCTTTACTTTTGACCAGTAATTTAAATGAGAAACATGAATGATGAACTGTTACACAAAAAAAAATTAATATGTTAATATTTATACAAACATAATGTCAACAGATTAAAGCATAGTTTCGTTTTTTTTAAAATTAAAACCAATTAGAGTTAGTGTATGTTGGTAGCATGTCTCATTACGTAACTCCCACGTACCGACGCCGATTGATTTTTGTTTGCATCGCCCTACGTTGTACGCATGCGTTAACAACTTAACGCACACACCCCAAGCCGGCACTGACATACATGCGCAAAATCAACCGAAACTCACAATCAAACCTCGACCCTTAGAAGTCAACAATAAAGTCGTATTTCACGGTGGCACTCGGCTTTATATTATTAGACAATTCGTTCCTATTAAGGCTTACACAGGCGCGCCCTCTTCCATACAAATCGGGAAAGTCAGTCGCGTCAGGTTTTCCTGTTCTTTCTGTATATTCTGAAAATTCCCATCTTTCGGTAATATCTAATCATTCTTCCGCTATATTACGTGCGTGATATTGATTGCGAGCGTTGACAATATGAAATTCAGTGAAAACAAAATTTAATTCTGAAATAGGAGTCGTGACTAAAAATAGATCATTGCTCGATACGTAGGGTAATTTAGTGAGAGCTTTCCATTCATAAATTACATTCATTTCGCGTTCGGCATTGAGGTAAAACACTTCTCAGATCTCGTGTTGTCGGTGACCGGATATAGGCAATTTTGACAGCGGCTAATTGACAAGAACCGCAACCCGGTTCAGTACGTGACAAGTTTCAGGAACTAGGAACAGCAATGTGAGTATTTAAATAAATGTTTTTTTTTACTTTGGGAACAACGCCAAACGCCTTTAAGACTTTATATGATTTGCTTCTTGATTTGCTTTTTGTCAAATCAATTGTCGTTCAAATTTGAGATTTCATGCTTTGTTTTGTTTGATTTAAATATTTTTCTCGCATGCTATTTATTGCATTTATTATATATACCAAACCCCTAAAGAAATTTACTTACTCTTTTTACATTAAACCAAGGAAATGAATGAATGGAATATGTACGTAGATATATATATTTTTGTTACATATTGCTGCTATTTACGCATAGTTCTAGAATATACTAACTTTTAATGTATTAATTTTTTTCCAGGCCTATTGATTTTGTATTATAATTTAGATCGGCCGCAAACTTATAGCGGACCGTGCGTCAGCCGTTTAGTGGGCACTTGACCTAATTTAGTTTCCACAGAAATATTGCGAGAAGGAAATTCATTCAATCATTGTAAGGCTTGGAGGGATTGATTATTAAAGACGTAGCGTACGATGACGATTATAGAATGAGGTTTTAATTTGACATCATACCCACCTATGATGTAGTCACCCACTGCGATTATTCGCATTTATAAATTACTAGATGTTACTTGCTGCTTCGCCTTTAGGGCCGAGGAAAAGCGTGAGTGTAATTTCCTGTGAAACGAGATTTATATTCGGGATAAAAAAACAACCTATGTCCTATTATTATTAACTTTATTTCAATTTTTTTTTTTTTTTAAAACCATAACATTTTGTTAGTAATAATTACTTATAATCTATGTTAGTAGCTTAAAAAATCTAACACATAACTATCATTATATACATTTTATACCATTACATTTTTTTTTCTCCTTCCAAGTGCCTACTGCAAAGGCTATTTATTGATCTATTGACTGGACCTAAAACTCTCACTTTCAAAAATTATGTCAATCCTTTGCTATTTTTTTGACGTGAATGAAGGGACAAAGAAACACAAGCAAACAAGCTTTCACATTTAATGTTCCTATTATTATATTTATACGATTGATATTGATTATACATATAAAAACTGCCAACTGTCAATTGATTTCTGCCGTGAAGCAGTAATGCGGTTTGAAGGGTGGGCCGGGCCAGTCGTGTTAAACTGATAATTACAACTCATGTCTAAAGGTGGGCGTTTACGTTGTTGATGTCTATGGGCACCATATATGGGAAGTCACCGTGATCTAAGGGATAAGACGCTCGGTGCATTCGTATCTAGCGATGCACCGCTGTTCGAATCCCGCAGGCGGGTACCAATTTTTCTAATGAAATACGTACCTAAGAAATCTTCACGATTGACTTCCACGGTGAAGGAATAACATCGTGTAATAAAAGTCAAACCCGCAAAATTATAATTTGCATAATTACTGGTGGTTGGAACTCTTTTGAGTCCGCGCGGGTAGGTACCACCACCCTTGCCTATTTCTGCCGTGATGCGCTTCGGTTTGAAGGGTGGAGCAGTCGTTATACTCTCTAAAAACGGAGACCTTAGAACTTATGTCTAAAGGTGGGTGGCGGTATTTTTTTTTTTATTGCCATTGTAGGCAGACGAGCATACGGCCCACCTGATGGTAAGTGGTCACCGTCGCTCATGGACGTCAGCAATGCCAGGGGCAGAGCCAAGCCGCTGCCTACCATAAATTATATTTATTTTACGATCTTGTCCCGTCGAAGCGGTTCCAAAGTAAAAAGTCATTTTTGTCACGTTTCTTCTGGTTAGGGTAATGATATACGGTAATAAAAATCAAAATAAACAAACGTCTTGAAATAGGTTAAAATAATCTCGTTGAAAGGTTTTAAAATACCAAGTCATTCACGATCCATCTATATTTCTATACAATACGAGAGTTCTTTCTGTTATGTACGATATGTTAGTAATATAGTTCTGTGGGGTCATCGGTGCTTCACCGATATTCCTTGTGCGCTTCGGTTTGAATGTTGGGGCAGCCGTTGTAACTATACTGAAACCTTAGAACTTAAATCTCAAGGTGGGTGGCGGCAATTACCTATTAAAATGAAATGCATGCAGACATGAAATATTTATTAATAACAGAAAACATACGGACCATATATACATAAATACATAGAAATAAATAAATACTTAGAACTAAATACAGAGAAAAAAGGAAATTGTACTTAAAAATTCAAATAACATTTTGGAATATACGTATAGGTATATTAAATCACATCAATGGAGCACATGGCGTTTCAAGAGATCACCGCCCAAAATTAGGTTTTGCGGAGCCCTTTTTTTATCTTCTTACTATTTACTGAACTTTGTGATACAGCGTTTTCATTAAATAAATGTAATCGGTTAATGACTCAATGAGCCCTTTGTCGTGAACTTTTTTTTTATTTTTTTTATTGCTTAGTTTGGTGGACGAGCTCACAGCCCACCTGATGTTAAGTGGTTACTGGAGCCCATAGACATCCACAACGTAGACGCGCCACCCACCTTGAGATACAAGTTCTAAAGTCTCAGTATAGTTACAACGGCTACCCCACCCTTCAAACCGAAACGCATTACTGCTTCACGGCAGAAATAAGCTGGGCGGTGGTACCTATCCGCGCGGACTCACAAGTGGTCCTACCACCAGTAAACTTTTAGGAACTTTTAGGATTTGAATTAATTTTGAATTGAATAATTTTTTGTATGTTTTACAAAATGTCTGTTAGTTGAGTGTGCCTCTTGGCATAAGCCTCCTCTAACATATTCCATTGTTGTCTATATTATAACTTTACAGGTTTTGAAATGAAAATGTTTACTGGTGGTAGGACCTCTCGTGAGTCCGCGCGGGTAGGTACCACCACCCTGCCAGTATTTCTGCCGTGAAGCAGTAATGCGTTTCGGTTTGAAGGGTGGGGCAGCCGTTGTAACTGTACTTGAGACCTTAGAACTTATATCTCAAGGTGGGTGGCGGCATTTACTTTGTAGATGTCTATGGGCTCCAGTAACCACTTAACACCATGTGTGCTGTGAGCTCGTCAACCGACATAGCAATAAATGAAAAAAGCCTTATAAAATTTGAATATAAATCTATTAGTCATACATAACTGTAATATTGAAAATTTCAACAGTTCGCTGATAAATACCGTGTTTTTTTCTTACAATTAACTTGCTAACTTGGTTTGCTAGAACGTTGTCAGTACACGAACAACGGTATGAAAATTAATATCGGAGTAAAAAGTGCAAGGTAAGCGTTTTTTGAAATTAAAACAGGTCCACAGGGGGTGATTTCGGACTAACATAAAGACTACGCAATGTAATATGTACAATGAGCGACTTGTTGGCACGTGACGTTAACAACAGTACTGTCTGCGTATACATAAAAGGGTTATATAGATCAAAAACAAACTTTATTCCAAATGCTTTAGGACAACATATTGACAAAACGATTTTATTGCTTAAAAATGACCGAAGCACATACGAGTACGATAAACTTCACCTGGTAGTATAAAGTTGTTGATCTCAAATATGTGTGACGCTGTTTTTTTAATTTTATTAAAACTTTTAAGTGAAAATGAGAATATGTTTTTTGGGTTTAATTAGAGCTCTTAATGTTTTAATGTTTCTAAATTTAGGGATACAATAACAACACACACACGAAAGCTTAAAGCAAAGTTTATGGACGTAATAAATTCATTTTCTGTTATTTAGTCAAGGGAATGTTATTCCCCGATTTTAACGTTTTTGGGGTCCGTGTTTTGTTTTAGTTATAAACTCAATGTAAATATCTACTTTGCCTTATTCACTTCTCCGGCATAAAACATTTTCAATTGAAAAGTCTGTGTACTTTAGAAGTCTATTCATTATCGTCATCAAGTATTAATATCACTCCCACGCATGGCTTCAATCTTGGATATTAGTAATGTAAAATATTATGAATACGTGCTTTAAATTATAACCGGAGATATTTTGATAATTGAAATGGTCGGCATTTAAGAAAACTCTACCACAAATTGGGAATCCAGTTTCACAACTGACAAGAATAGTCATAAAACTCGGAGCTTGCTTAATCCCAAATGTTTATAGCATATCCTAAATCAATACGTAAGATTATTACCCTGTATTATTTGAATTTTAAAGTTAAAACTCTTTTCTTATTGAACTCAACAGCTTGTAATGGAAATTTGATCAGAAATTCTGATTATTACCCTGTATTATTTGAATTTTGAAGTTAAAACTCTTTTTCTATTAAACTTTCCAACAGCCCGTAACGGAAATTTGATCAGAAATTCTCCTCGAAGTATTATTATCATAACAGTTATAACATATTCACGTATAATATATCTGAAAACGCTTTATAGATAAAATAAACAATCTCCTTTGAAAACATTAAGAGAATAATAATTAATTAAAAACCAAGCAACACTCACGAAGCTCGTTGCGTATCTTCAAACGATCTCGTTGATGAAAACACGAGTTATTTCGCTAAATTAGAGCCCATTGTAATCAACTTTCCAAGCTGTCAATGTTGTTAGCAAGAATAGCGAATAATACGACATTACTTGAATAAATAACAATTAATACCACGTTGATATTGTGTAACAATTTTATAAATCACTTTTCGAGAACAATGATGTAATTTATATCTCTTCCACTTGGATTAGTAATCGCGAAAGCCGGTTCGTATTTCAACTGACCAGTTCGAATGCAAAATACAATATTAATATTTTTCAATGCTAGCAAAAGCAGACAATCTTATATCCCTTTGATACTATTATAAACATACATTTCGAATGTATCTTCTCCTCAAAAACCCGAAACCTCCCAAAAACCCGACCGAGAGGGCTGGTGTTCGTGACGCCGACGACCGCCAGTCCGGCGTCCCGACCCCTCGATAGTGATGGGAGAGATGTGCTCCGCACTAAACACTTCACTTTCCCTCCTTTGCCTTTTCATGAGTTCTGTCTAATATGAGGTTTGGACTTTGGTTGTTGAGCGACAGGAGGTTTTAGTCGGTTCGACT